AAACACACATAAAACAGGCAACAAAAGTGCATTTTCAGCCTTGCAAAATTCGCGTAAATCCACTGCAGTAATAACCCAAAGGCCCTTTTCCTTGCCTGAAAAATCGACAAACGATGTTCGCCTTTATTCTGTATTACCTCAGTGATTTTTTGTTATGTTTGTAGCTTTTGCCTGCTTTTCAAGTAAGTTTACGAGCAAGCTTAGATTTTTCAACACAGATAGTAAAAGTGACGCATCAAATGGAGCTGACTGGGAGCTGTAATTAGAGGGTACAGCGGGGTTATATCAGATACAGAATAATACTGAATACTGCAGTTGCAGGGTAGCAGGAGTGTGTGAATTTATGAAATTCATTGGGAAAATACTGTATGTATCGTAAATTATAACCAATTTCCATCTTTTGATTTATTAAGGAAGAAAATTGTTATTAAACATAGTTAATCAATTATTTATTATATGAAATATTTCGGCTTTCGAGATTATTAAATGTTTATTATTATTATGTCTGTGTAGTAAATCTAGTACAAACATATATTCCTCTAAATTATGTCCAGCAATTAAGAAGCTAAAGCCCCGCTTAGCTGGTAAAACAAACATAAATAATTATAAAACAAATTGCTTACGATTGCATAAGTTTATCCAGAAATCTTTATTTCACACTGTAAATACTAGTTTCTTTATATAACTATAAACCATTTGCTATTTGCTGCATAAATAAAATTTACCCATATCTATTTGAATAACTTAAGCTGATTACATAAACTCAACACATATTTTACAAGCAATAATTAACAACTTTATAAATATAATAAGTAGCTGCACGTCCACTCTTCTTTTATATTAAATGTTCTGATTCTCTGTTCCATGAGTCAATGACACAAACACTGGCTCACACATGTTTATAATTCATTTTGCAATATTGTTTTTTGAAAAAAAAACACAAAACAATAACAACAAAAATGGCAAATACAAAAACGTGCCTGCCAGGCCTGCCTCATCTCGCGACAACAATCACTTTGAAAGGGTCGTGTGGCTTTGCATCTTTATGGCCAAAGTCCCAGCCACATCAATAGAATCGGTTAACAAACGAACAAAAAAAAAGTAGTTTTCCGAGGATTTTGTAATGCCTGAATGCTAAATTTGGTAACCATCCGCGGCAGCAACTAAACACCAAACTAAACAGCCTCCAACATCAATAATAGATGCCAAAGAGCTTTCAGCTCAGCCGGTTTCGCTTACTTTTATGACTTAATTTTGTGTTTAGAAAATACATCGCACATCTTATTATTTGCGGTTTTCCTTTGCAAAAAAAATAAAAAATAGTTAAAATATAGCTGAATTCAAGAGAGTTTTGAAAATAGATTTGCTTGCGGTCGGCAGAGATCGTTTCGAATGAATGGAAGGCGCAGCCTGATCGATGCCAAAGTTGGGCACGTGGTCTCGGCTTCAATTAATATAAGTAAGTTAGTTTGTTTTGCCACGAGACGGAAGTAATCAATGCCGATTATTTTAAATGGACTGCTAATGCCAGGCAATTGTACTTTGGCCTGTCTATCAATTCGTTTCTACTGACCACAGAAAATTAATTTTAAAACTGGAAACTGGGTTTATGGGGGGTTTCATTATTATTTTATTCCTTGGATTTGGCCTCCTTTGCAGAAATTCTTCCTCATTGTGCCTGTTTTTTAATGGGGTTTAATTTAATTTTATATAAAACAATGCAACAGGAACTCGCTGTAGATTTTACAACTACTATTTAACTCAATTCAAAACAAGAAGTAAAGCTAATTGAACCAATGTTATTAGCCATCAAATGGGTTTTCATTTATTCAATAAGATTTAGATTGTAAATCGAAACAAATATGATTTTAAATAATAATTGGCTTCTTGGCTTTCGTGTACCACCAAGAAAACCCAAATTTTTAAATCGATATTTTTACATAGTTTTTGAGTAAATCAAAATTTTCAAAATTTTATACCAAAGCCAAAAATGCATTAATTTCAATTCGGAAAACTTTTCTATGCTAGTTTTTATAGGGCTAACAAATTTGTCTAATGAGATTTAAAATTAAGAAAATTAAATTTTTTGTCAATTTTTGAAAATTTTAACAATGTAAACCCCTTATAAAATTTGAAAAATTTTCAAAAAATTTACTTTTCTTCCAGACATGTCTAGATCGATTCGGATTTGAATGCTGATCAAGAATATATATGATTTATAGGGTCGGAAACGACTCCTTCACTGCGTTTTAAGCTTCTGACTGAAATTAGAATACCCTGCAAGGTTACCCATGAAAATATACGATTTATTCACTATACAGAAAAGGTATTTTAGTTTGACTCATTTTTTGTGAAAAGGTTTTTATAATTTTTATCTGAATCTTTTATTTTGTGGCTTTAGTTTTCTCAAGTTTAATTCCCAGAATTTTTTCTTATTGCAGCTGGAACTTCCTTTGAACTGTTTTGCCACCCAGCTGAAGCATTTCTAAGCCACCAAAAAAATGAGGCTTAAATTATTGGCTTGGCATTTAACATGACAGCCACATTAAAGTGTCCACTTTGGCAACCTGTGCCGCACTATATATACACTCCATATAATATATATATATATATATATATATCTTATGGCCATATGTTATATATAGGAGTCAGGCCGCTGCTGCTGGCGTTTGCTATAATTGAGGTTTGACGTCTCTGGTCGGGCTGGGTTCAGACGACGGCTCCGGGGCTCAGACTCAGACTCAGACTCCGGCTTCAACTCAGGCTCAGACATGGCTCTCGAGGAAATGCAATTTTTATTTAACAGCCTCAAAGTTTTTGGTGAACTAATTGTCACTTTCATTGGGGCCCGCACAATCCCAGCAATTTTAATTCAATCCTAATGCGCCCAAATCATTCCGCACTTGTGGATTGTGCAAGTGCCTGGCTTGGACGGACAGTCACAATCGCTGATGCAATTCACACTGGAACAAATTATTTTAATACTTTGTGTAAGTATTGGCAAATGCAACTCATAAGTCAGTGGCTAATCTGCGTTTTATGCAAAGCAACTCGATGCGAGAAATGTTTGCCCGAGAGAGACCAGTTCTTGGCCCGTAACCTTGGGCCAGAAATATACGACGACGACGCTAAGAAGACGCTTCCAGTTAGTTAGCGGCGATATCCACATCCGTTGTGTAATTGCCCCTCAGAGACAGAGCAAAAAAGTAATGGAAAATCTATTAATATACAGACTTGAGAAATACCTAGTAAATTAAGAGAAAATTTCTAAATTACTTTCATATTTTTATTACGTTAACCACATGAAATGCTCCACCCTTAACCATCTTTGATAAAAAACCAATTTAATAGTTTGCCCCCTGAAAATGCAAAGAAAATATACCAAGATCTGAATATTTTGTTTAGCCTTTTTTTAACAAAATCCATTATTATTTATAAAGTCTAATATCTATAACTTTTTCTTGAAAACAAATCCAATATACCCCTAAAATACCGCAAGAAACGAAACCAATTGCATGGCGCTCAACGTCTCGTTGGCAATTACAACTTGCCAGAACCATTAACAGTTATTAAGATCAAATCCAAATTCAATTTATTTGCAAATTAAACGATTGGCTAATTTCACGTTGTCTTGTTGTACTCAGATTAGCAGCAATCCAGATTACAGCACCGATATGAGATATATTTTGTTGAAATATTAAGTATACGTTGTGGTGGCCAATGGAAAGGCAAAACAAATTGTATAAAACTAAATGGATACATTTAGTAATTGGTTTTTTCGAATTTTCGTATAGCAAGAAAAAGACTGTTAAGATTTTGGAACCTAAAGAAACACCTCAAAGTATGCCAGGAAAACAGGGGTTTTCTCAAGCCTAACTTAGCGTCTACCAAAACCTCTTCTGTATTGTTCAATCCCAGCTTTTAAAGCACAAACTTTTAATTGTAATAAGCAGCTTTTATTTATATTTTCAGCTGTTACCACTTTTGACCATTTGGCGGGTCAGCAAAACGTCACCGGAAGAAAAGTCTTGAGAGCCAATTAAGTCTATGAAATGGGCCATCCAAAATAAACTAGTGAAAACAAACAAAACAAGAGCAAAGAAAACAAAAGTTAACAAACAAAAACAGAAGGCTTATGTAAACAGCAACAGATTTGCGGACCGTGAAAATCTAGTTTTTTGGTTTCTCTTGAGGAAAACGCCAACGGAAATGGCAAACTTTGAATATTGAATGGCAATATTTTTGCGCTAATGAAATGCAGAGCTTTCAGAGCATTCAATTGGCCATGAGACACATCGATTAAAGCTTCCCCCTAAAAAAGGGGTGTACTTCCAACTGAATTAATGGATGCTAAAGTGTAAATTGTAACGCCAACATGGCAAAGCTGCATCTACGGTCTGCATTTTAATTAATCATCATTAATCTGCTCATTATCTGTATGGATTTAAGTAGAAAAGGGAAGGGGAAATATATACATTGACAGATATAAAGATTCATTGAATTATGCGAGGAAATTTCTGTATTTAAATAAAACAAGGAAGTATTGTCAAAATGTAATTATGTTATGATATTTTCAATAATATATTTAGATTCTATATTTAATTATGTATTTTTTTTATGTATTTTATTTGATGATACATAATGATACATATATCATCATATTAATAAAAGTTCTGTTTTATCACAGATGTCGAAAAAGTGGGGAAAATAGATATATTAATGTTTACAACATCAAAATATATATTATTATATAATATTAAAAAAAAATGTGTTTCAAAAGAGTTAAAAAAATTTATTTTTCTACATTTAAAGACCCAATAATCAATTTAAATTAATCAAGTTAAATACGCTTCCTTTAGTATTTCCACTCAAAACATTTTTTCGAATCTTTATTTTACAAAATTTTGTACATAACTTAAGTGTAAGATTAACCGCTTTATGTTATCCTCGTTTCGTTGATCAAAGAGCATCGTTGGACTTCGAAATATCCTTCCTGCTAAGAGAATCCTTTGAATCCATACAAACTAAATTTGCTTACAAAAACTACGATGATATTGGTCCTCCTCCTCCTGCTCCGGCCTAGTAGTGACCCGCATAGGGACTCGCATAGTGTCCATAGTGTCCCGAATCGTGACCGTAGTCATGACCATAGTGTCCATCGTACTGGGGGATGTACTCATACTGGCCCTGGTTGTAGTAACCATCATCGTAGTCGTAGTGGATGGGAGCAGCTGCCGCCGGTGCATAGTGCTTGGCCACTTCAAGTTGGAAGAGAGACATATATATATATAGACATATAAACTTTAGTTGGGAGGGGCTATTTGGCTTAAATTTATTTTTCGCTGACCGACGCTGTTGTAATAATGACCGACAAAAAACTAAACAGCCGTAACAGCTGCTAACTGTTTGCCATTGTTGGTAAGTAGCCCAGAAACCAACAAAAAAAATAAACAAAACGAAATAAAATAAAATAAAACCAAACATTTCAATGCTGACCGGGGCATTTTCTTGGCAATTTCTTTGCAATTCTCCTTTTTGGCAAATAATTTTTAAGGCACGAACTCGCCAGTCAATTGGTCACAGGTGCTAGTGCTTGTGCTTGGCTTTTCTTTGCCGCCGTTTTTTTCAGTTTGTGTTTTTTGGTTGCTGTTTTTTATATGCAAAGCAAGCCAAGTTCGTTGCCTAAGTCTTTTGTTTTCGGCGCGCTGATTTCTTTCGCTGTGCGTCTTGCTGATAATTCTCAATTAAAATTGCACCGCAGCACCCACAACAATTATGAGTATATGTGTGTGTGTATATTCATTTCCCAGGCCGCAACAACAACAAAAGCATTGCGACATTGAGAAAATTAAAGCTAAAACCTCGCACTCCTAAGAGTTGAAGGGGAGAATGGAAATTGCGCGCAGAAGAAACGGCAATTTTCATGAAAAATTATGTTGCGGTGGTTGTGTTTTTGTTGTTTTTTTTTTTTTAGGGGGAAAGATGATGCACCATCTGACATAATCTGTGTGGGAAATGCAGTAACCAAAAGTGCAAGCTGTGACTAGAAAAAACTGAGCACTCAAAACAAAGCCAGAAGCCAAATCTTTGGCTTCGGATCAGATCCGGAGCAAAGTGAGGTAACCCGGTGATGGGGCGTGTCGCTGGATTAGTCAACCATGGGATGTTACACATTGTATATTTGTAACCCGGTTACAAAGTCGCCACCAGACACTGACTCAGCTCAGCTGGTACAAATATGAGAGACTAATTGCAATTTATTGAATTAAAATTGCCAGTGCAAGCTGCCACCCAAGCTAAGTACTGAAGCGATTACAATGGATTTATGGTAAGACATTCACAGACTCAGTAGGCTGTATAATAATCGCCGAAGCTGGCCAAATCAAGAGCATCATCATCATTAACATCATTGTTGTCGTCTTCGTCGGGGCGCAATTTGCGATACTGATTGTTCAGATAGTTGGCATGCCGCCTGAATAGCTTTAGCATGCGATATGTGTTCATGCCTGGAAATGCAAGCAGAGAAGAACACACGTGGAAATGTCTGGGTGTGACCACGAAAATTGGGGTGGGGGGAAAAACAGGGAACAGAGAAGTGGAAGTGGAAGTGAAGGTGAAGTCCAGGTGAAGTGCCAACTAAGTAGGTGCCGGTAAGCTAAGAATCTCCTTAATACCAGAAAAAAACACGCCTTAATTCTTAATCTTTGTCCTTCCGAAACACTCACCGTAGGGCGCCGGGGATGCCACCACCAGAGGAGCTGCCACTGGTGCCACATGCTTCACCACATGTGGTTCATAGTGGGCCAGAACTGGCTTGTGAGCCACAATGGGCTTGGCCACCACCGCCTGGGCATGGACAGTGGGTCCCGACTTGGTCACCACAGCATTGAAGCCATGAATGGGATCCGCCGTGTAGTCCACCGTCCGAATAGAACCATCGGGCTCTACCAGAGAGTATTGACCTGAAGGGGATACCATTAAAATATAGAAGTTATAGAGTTAGGGTTAGTTAGGTATATAATATTAATTATATAAAATTATTACCCTTGACAACATCACCATCACGGGTCTCGTGCTGCGACTTCACATCCCCTGTGGTGTGATCAGCCACGCCATAGTTAAAGGCATATTTTGGATGGTCCTTGGGAAGATAAATTAATTAGAGGGAAAATATTTTATGTTATAAATTAATTTTAACATTAATATACTCTAGGATTGTTTATAAAGAAGTGTTAAATAAGATGTTAGTTTACGAGTATATTAAGGAATATTTATAAAGAGCAGGATAAGTGAATCTGAGTAACACTTTATTAAGTATTAATATTAAGTAACATCAATATATTATACATATAAAATTTGTTTTATTTTAATTTTAAGAAAATAAGAAGCAAAGAAATAAAATAAAAATTTTTCAAGGCTTGAGATTTCAGTCTTAAAAAATATATTTCAAAGTGAATAATATATAACTCTACTCTTTAATTTTTAACAGGACTTTGAAAGTTAAAATTTTACCACAAAATAGGTCAAAAATATAAAGCATACAATTATTATTTTAGTATTTCTATTCAAACTTCATTTAAGGTTCATATTTTTCTAAAGCAAAGTCATCTAGTAACTTTTAAATAACATTTGCTTATTAACAATTATTTGTATTTGTAAATATACTTTACTTATTTAAGTTTTATATATTTTTATCCTTTTTAATTTAAACTATTTCCTATTTTCACTGTGCAACTCACATAATAATCCAAAGCATATCCTGGCCGCGCAACAGCAACACCGGCGCACAAAGCCAACGAAAGGATCACGAAGCACATGAAGTTTGCCATTTTATTTATGAGGATATATATTTTTGTTAAAGCTTCAACTTTGTTTAAAATATATTTGAAAATATATGTATATTTTTGCTAGAAATAGACACAAGGGTAAAAAACACTTCACTTGAGTTTAAGGGCTATGATTTAAGGTTTTCTTATATTACTTGGAGTATTTCAACGGCACCAGATACAAACACCGCCAAGCTGCCCGGAATACTGTGGCGATTCTAAAGCGGGTTTTCCATTAAATAACCGCGAAATGTGCGAATGCCGCTGCTGGCAGAGAAGTCGGCAGAGAGCCGGCTGACAGAGACTCTTTTGGATTTTCTCAGTTTTCTCAGCCACTCAGGCACACTGTGCTCCAGAGATGTTGTGACGTGTTGCCCCGTCATGTGAATGGAGTAGGAGTTGCAGCATGGACGGATGGCATCGGATCGGATCGGATCAGGTCGGAGCGGAGCAGAGGGGAGAGGAGAGGAGAGGAGAGGAGCGGAGAGAAGCGGAGAGAAGCGTATCGCATCCATGGGATATTGCCAAACGCAACCGGGTTCCACTGAATGGGGTGGCCTGTGTTGGTTTGGGTTTCTGTGTCTGTGCAGATCAGCGACACATTTCTCAAATCTGTTACCAATCCCACAGCCATTGTCAATGAAGTCATCAGTGATAATTGTGTCTTTCCACAGGTATGCCCCACCCACCAGTCCTAGAAATAATTTTATTTAATTAGCTGAGAGAGTGCAGAGGCTTGAAAATGTAATCAATAAGCTTAATACTTCGTTTTTTACGTCTAAACTTGTATACAAATAATCTGCCTTTTGCGTTCTCTTCTCAAGGACATTAATTTCTATAATTCATATATTAACATAACTTACCTTTCCCTTATTTATAATCCCCTCTTTGAAATCTTAGCTCTCCTCTACCATAGTGAAAAGCCCCTTAAGAATTATGCTAGATTAATCATTCCAACTTAATCATTAATTTCCTTGATTTCAGCAAGAAATGATTGGCCTGCTCCAATTTAAGTTAACAACTTAATTCTTGGCAAATAAAAAGAAACAGAAACCGAAACCAAAATAAATCGCTGACGGTGAACAACAAGAATCTAAATCTAAATCAAAGACAAAATCGGGTCAAGTTGCAATTGCAGCACAATGCGGCCCTAGTTATTCGGCACATGCGAAATTCTCAGTGATCTACTTCAATGACAGCCCAGCAGCAGTTACAACAAACTAAGACTAGTAACAAGTACTAGCAAATACACAACTGGACTTAGGACTTTTTTTTTCTTTTTGTCTCGCAGCATTCAGCTGAAGGTCAAGCTCATTTTGGCTTCACAGTTTAAGCCACCATTCTGGGCCAAGAAATGAAAGCAAAGTGACTTCTAAGGAGCGGAATTTATGACATAAAATTAATCGTATTCTTAGGATGGTTGTGAAACTGACCTTTTGATGGAAAAGAAGTGATTAATTTGATTAAGAGTATTAATTCTTTTTTAAAGATAGAATGACATGGATAAGTTAAAAAAAAGAGTCAGGATAAGCTGAAGGTGAAGCTATATTTTCTCATAATCGCATGCCTCTTGAACTATATTCAAAACAAAGTATTATATTCAAAAAAGAAGCTTAACAAATTTAAAAAATACTCTCCATTAAACTTGTCAACTTCAAAGAGGAAAACCCTTAACAAAAACCAACTCATATGGTTTTTCAATCTATAATTTATGAACATTGCAGGCCATACCCTTGAACCAACACGAGAACGTGCCAATTGCGGTCTGTCTGGCAGTCAACAAACTAATTCAAATAATATTGTCAAACCGCAAAAGAGGCTTAAGACTAGAGTTACTATGATTAGAGCTACTTAATCTTAATGAGGGCTAGTTTAGTGTCCAAGTAAAGCATTTTCACACAATTAATGCCGGCCAGGGGCGTGCCAAAGCCTCTGAGAGAGGAGAGCTTGAAGAAAAACTAAATCTCTAAGAGACCTTCAAAAGGCCTGTCTAGAAACAATTGCCTCTCTCTCGCTCTTAACTTTTTTTTGGCTTCGACTGCGGTTTTTGTAAAACTAAATACTAGATTAAGTCAATTTGCATGCCGCCAAAAAGCATTTTGCTACCTAGACTTGGGAAAATTCAGACGGCAATTGTCGGCTATGGTTTTCCGAAGGTTTTCCTCCACATGCTGGCAGTCTCACTAAGAAGACTTCAAAAGACATCACATATGCGTGTGCTGGGAATTGTTTTTTGGTTTCTGGTTACTGGTTACAGTCTTCTGGCAATTAACTCAAATATATTTAACCTGCGGAAAAACAAAGCGAATTCTTTAAGCTGAAGAATACTCATGGGCCAAAATGTTCTTAAATGTGGCATTTCAAGGGGGGCAAGTTTATGTGGGATGGGAACTTGGGCTTGCATTCTATATGATTTTGATTAGTTATTTTGGCTACTTTGTTCTGTGATATATCATAAAGTCATTTCCATTTAAGGAAATTATTTTCATCTGCCATATTTTTATTGAGGAGATTTTATTGATGGTTTAAATTACCTTTGGGTAATATATACCTTATACAATAAGCTTAAATTGGATTTCCTCTAGAACTACTCCCTCTCAGTGTTAACAATACATTCCCTTGCTCCTCCCATGAACCTGCATCATTTCCATTGACTTTGAAAGGTTATTCTTTGGCTGGCAGAGATCATTCTGCGAAAGTGGAATTGGCATTGCCATTTTATCATGAGGTCGCACTTTTTCAGCTAAATCCGTAAGCTCGGATCGAGGCACAGTGATGACTTTGACTTGGTTTACTTACTTGGTCACCTAATTTCTTGGCTTGTTTGCCCACCGACTAATTTGACAATGGAGAGTCCATGATTTTGGTGGACTTGCAACATGGGGAATGGTCTATACTCCACTTCACTCCACTCCAGTGATGGGGTGTTGCAAGTCTCTCAGAGGTAACAACAGCACTTGGCTGTCATTGTTGTCGCCCTTAGTTGGCCATGGTCCAGTGCCTTTGGACCAATCGAGGAGGGACCATTGTTAGCAAGCCAGTCAGCCAGCCCTGTTACAGAATGACCCGTGGCCAATGCGTTCGCATCCGCGTCGGCGGCGGTGGTAATAAAATGCAAATGAATGGTAGGTAGCCCCTGGTCAGGTATAAATTTCAAGCGAATTATTCGCACCTCGTCTGGGCCAATTTGCTGCAGCCTCTTAGCCATCATGCATCAAATTAGTGGACCAACTAATCCAGTTAGCTTTTGTTATTATATAATTGACTCTGACAGTCGCTGGGGCTGAGATTGCGTCTAATTATGCCCCGCCATTGGGAGCTGTCATCAATTTATGCGCTTCTGCTACTAGTTTACTTTGGTTTAGTTAGTTAGTTGCTTAAATACATTAATCATCAATTAATGGCATTTTTCAATTACGCAGACTCAGGCGACATTTGGCATTTAACAGTGGTTTGTGGTACATAAAGGAGAGTTTAAGTAAATAAGTATTAATTTAGGTAAAATTTAAAAGGGGATAAAAATAATTAATTTGTACATTTTTATACCCTAACAGGGTAACTCGGAAGCTTAAAATTTAGTGAAGGAGTCATTTCCGACCCTATAAACCATATATATTCTTGATCAGCATCAACAGGCGAATCTCTTTAGGCATGTAGGAAAAACAAAATTTTTTTTAAAATTTTTTCCAAATTTTTTAAGGGGTTAAAATAATAAAACAAAAGACAAAAATGTGAATTTTTTAACATTTTGAATTGAGTATGCAGATTTGTTAACCTGATAAAAACTAACATAGGAAAGCTTTCCGAATTAAAATTAGTGCCTTTTTGACTTAGTTATGAGTATTTTAAACTTTGGTTTCTATAAAAAATTGCCATATAAAAATATAAATAAATATCTACTAAAAATGGTATTTTAATTATAGTCAGAAGCTTATAATTCTGTGAAGGAGTCATTTCCGACCCTATAAACCATATATATTCTTGATCAGCATTAACAGGCGAATCTTTATAGGCATGTTGAAAAGGACAACAATTTTTGGCCATTTTTTTCAAATTTTATACGGGGTTGAATTAAAAAAAAAAGACTAAAATTTGAATTTTTTTCAATACTAAATTGAGTATGCAGATTTGTTAATCTAATAAAAACTAGTCCAGTACATCTTTCCGAATTAAAATTAATGTATTTTTGACTAAGTTATGGGTTTCCCAAAAATTGTTGTATAAAAATTTATATAAAAATCTACATTGCCTTACCAACTTAAGCCATTTCCCTTGACAATTTCTCTCTTCAACATAAATAGAAATAGGTTTCCTAATATATATTTTATACAAAAATATATCCTTAAATGTTAACCTGCAATTAGTGTACACTGTGCAACTGCCACAAACAAATCAGTGAACAAGCCAAGTCTAGCCCCTTTCCCCCCCGCAATGTATGCTCGGTATTTTATTATCTATAAATTGTATCAGCTTCGATCGATGCATATCTTAGAGGTAGCATCTTAATGTTGCCGCCACTTACAGATCACAGATACTCGTACTCGTAGATACGCAGATACAATAACTGCCAGCGATGCCATATAGAGAGCACGTGTTGGCGACATCGTCGTCTTGAATGTCAACTGGTCGCAGATAGCAAAAAACAAAACGCTCCGAAGATCAATAGAGACTAAAATAATAGTTGGACTTTAGTAACTGTCATTTGGCGATTTGAAGAAGAAGTCGAAGCTGGCACTCGAAAGGTTATTGGAGCAGTGAGTAAGAGCCAAGTTTATACATTCCAATCGACATTGAGGCAAGTGGAAGTGGAGGTGTTCTTGGAATTGGATTTTTTTGGGTAAAGTACAGAGCTCTAGTTAGCCAGCGGAAACTAGTTCCTTCCGGCATTTCCCACCTCGACCTCAACTGCCGGTTGGTGAATCCGCCCCCTCGAGGGCGGCACCTGTCCGATCTAGTTTTGGATCTGGCAAATTAATGGACATCACGTATGAGAGATTCACCTCTTTGTCTCGGCCTGCCTCGAAAAATGCGCACATTTAAACGCTCCGCTGATCACTGATCTCTGATAAATTCTT